AACAATACATACATACATACATGCATACATACATACATACATATATACACACACACACACACACACACACATATGTATAAATATATATATATATATATATATATATATATATATATATATATATATATAACCTCTGTCCATGTAATCCAGTTGCCTCTGAGATGTCTTGAATAAAGATGAAAGCTAAGGTGCTCCGTTATTTATATATATATATATATATATATATATATATATATATATATATATATATATATATATATATATATATATTCATATATATATATACATATATATATATATACATATATATATATATATATCATTAGCCCAATAAAACACGCGGACTTCTACATACAATCAACACCTCAACCCGCCAGGATTCGAACCCACGGCCCACGAGCCCATGACTGTGACCGGGAAACGCTAACCGCTAGACCACCAGGATACTAAAAGCAAACCTAGACTTTGTTATATTTCACACAAAGCCTGTATCACGTAGGTGGTCAGAGTAACGTTTTACCACGTCCGGCTTCGAAACAGGAGGATACGGGTAGTCCCCATTAGAGGTTCACGGCGCCTTAAGCTCGTTGAACAGGTTTTGTGTGTAATATAACAAAGTCTAGGACTGCTTTTAGTATCCTGGTGGTCCAGTAGGTAGCGTTCCCCGGTCACAGTCATGGGCTCGTGGGCCGTGGGTTCGAATCCTGGCGGGTTGAGGTATTGATTGTATATATATATATATATATATATATATATATACCTGTAGTAGGCAGCTACCAAACAGGGAGGTACTACCGCCTGGGAAGATATTGGAAGCATAATGTATTGTGTGATGGTAGACCCTGCTGCTGTATGACATCACGAATATTGTGACCAAGTCTCAGGTAGCTGATCTGTCTTTCTGCCCCATAATTGTTCATTACACTTAAAGAACATCAAACTCAGTAAGTTTGTGGATATGCGACATCTCTAGGGCTAAATGCACGCTCAGCTAGAGCATGGAAAGCCGGCTTGGTTAAAACGCTGAGCGTCAGATTGACCTTTGACCTGGGTCACTTTGCCCAAGAATATTGACCTCAACCTAATAATTTCCAAATTTTCCCAGACCGACTTCAGACTGCATATTGCCCAATGCAAGCATGAGGCCTAGTTTATTACTGGTAGTGGATGTGGCCTCCAGCCTCCCCCAATAGCCACACCTTCACCGCCATTTTATTACCTTAATATTAAATATCCTAAAACTAAAGAAGCTACTCTAGCTGTGTTGAGTTAGTTAAGCCACAGATCTATGAGGCATTCAGTGACTGCAACCGTTGTCGGCTTTGGGGCCGAAGATGTTGTTCCCCTGAGGCAAAGCAATGCAGACCTAAGCAGAGAGAGGGGTAGTCGACACCTCAACCAGGCTGTAACATAACTTCTGGGTTGCTGCTTCTATTTGGATAACACCTCGGTCAGTCTTGCAAAGAAGCATCTTGCACTGGGTTCCATCCCATCAGATGTTGTAAACACCAGAGGAGTGAAGCTGCCTTGGTCCACATTCTAAATTCTCTTCTCCTATGCCCAGTTCTTGTCATTCTCGTTCCTCTTGTGTGTAGTGGTAGTGGATTAGTGGTGTAAGTCGTGATGTGAGGTGAGGCGTCTCACTCCCCTACCTTAATCCTAACCATTTGACAGGTTCCTCTTAACTGAATTAAAATAAATAAAATTGATTTATGGCCTCGAAAGGTCTCGACCAAAAATCCGAGACCACACACTGTAATTATGTAGGAGACCAAACCGAAACTGGTCTCGATACCTGCATGTATAAACACAATATACACAATAGCACATTCGCCCAGGCAGACATAATTACAGCCATACACACACACACACCTTCAACACTCTCCCTCAATTGGTGCAAATAATGTAAAAATCGTCTTTTTATGTTTATTGAGGATCAATCACTCAGACACTTGACACAGTCTTGTGAATATTAATGACACAGAGAATAAAGTTAATACAAAAAGAAACACAAATATTGTTATTATTTTTTCACTAATAAACATTCACATTATTTTACGTAAATTAATTCATTAACATCTTACAAATTATATTAAGATGAAATATAAAAGTCTAAAACTATTAACTTATAAACTTGTTAAAGGTGACATATACGTCTACTGAGATAATGACACTGAACATGACACATAACATCTTGACACCGTGTCACCATAATGAATAAAATATTAATGTGTCATCTTATATTGAAGAGGAGAACGGGAGGTGTCACACTTCTTTGTTAACCTTTACTTATCGTAATAATAATTATAATAAAGAAAAAAGTAAAAAGAAAACGATCGATATTAGAGTTTTATAATTATTGTTCATCCTTAAGAGACCAGATACAGTGACCTTTGACATCTTTATAATGCCTGTAACTTGACACTTACACCAAGCATGTTAGGACTGGTTAAGATAGATTAGATCAGGGAAAGGTACGGTTAGGTAAAGTTAAGTGTTTTTGGTTAGGTTAGGTTTATTTTGGTGTGGATAAGTTAGTGTAGAAAGGATAGATTAATTTAGGTTGGTAGTCTACAGAAAGCCACCATAGATAACACTGTCAATAAATTGGATGTGATCTGCGACACTGACGAAGAATCCAGGAAGGATAGAAGCTCCCGACCCCAGACATGCCACACCTGAACCCACCATCCCCACCAGGAAGCGTCGACCATCTGCGTCATCCAGGTACAGCGGACCGCCAGAGTCACCCTTGTGAGAGAGGATCATAGTCATCATCGTGGACCACCAGAGTCATCCGAGTTATAGAGTAATGTAATCATACTTTTTCTCTCTCTAACAACTATCAGAGCACAACAAGAGACTCACCTCACAAGCACCTCTCCCAGGGTAAGCGGCACACATAATGTCTCGACCTTGTAGTAACTCAGGGTACACGACTTTCAGGTGGGGTTCACGATCTGCTTCCCTGTAGATGTTCTCACACTCTCCCGGGTCTATAGTCAGAAGTTCAACATCCTGTAACACGGGTGACTGGTGCGCTGTAACAACAACAACGACTTGTATAGTATGTTGCAATAATTACCTTCCATCCAATTAATATTATTAGCCAGTCCTGGTGTACCTCAGAGCTCCTCGTCATCTGAAGGAAGTTAGAATTATGACATAAATAACAGTGGCACTTAAGAATTTCATTGTGTGGTTATGCAAAGCTAGAAGGATCCTTCATATATGCCAATGTGATTATCACTATTCCATCATTAGCATGGAAATTTTAGACACCTTTATTTCAACTTTTAGATAATTATGTGAAATCGAGCACCAGTAATGAATTCATACAAAACTTGGTGTGTGTGTGTGTGTGTGTGTGTGTGAGTGTACTGTACAAGCAAAGAGTATATAGGGAAGAGATTTGTAATCTTATTTATTTTCCTTTTAGTGACCAGTTTCCATCAGATATTCTAGTTTATTTGTGAGTGCCCGCTTCAGAATGAGAACATACTAAGCGTAGCATTAATTATCCATCAGTCTCCCTGATACTTGAATGTACTCTAGACTTCTATCAACAAGATCTGGGATGAGTTCAATAATTCATGTGTGTTCTTCTAAAATTAGAAAGTATTGCGCCTTGTGATTCCCTGCCTGGGTATGAAGCCAACACAATGAACCAGTGATATAGTCGAGACAACGAACAAAAGTATTCTCAATTCTAGGCTTTATGGATCACATGAAGATTAACCTGCTTAGTGCTCACAGGTACTTACCCCCCCCCCCCTCTCAGCTTTTACCACCCGGAAATTATCTGGGTGGGGGGGGGGGCGGGGTCGTTCGTGGTCTCGACTACATCACCGCTGTGAACATAACGACTTTAACAAAGATAAATGAATTTGGATGAAAGATTCGATAGAGGTTTGAGAAGTAATATCGTTTCTTTTTATATATGATTTGTAACTATTTGTTATGTTTCTCGATACGGCTGTGTCCGCTGTATTCACTCAGTAACTACAAATAACTAGACAGATTTCAACGATGCTGGTAAAATGGATGGAACTCAACATGGTCACCGTTCGCCCACTTGTGAGTAACTAGCAACTTAGTGGACCAATAGGTTAAACACACAAACGATTTTTAGTGAAACTTCACAGACAGGAAAAGTAATATGACACACCTATAAAACACAACGGGACACGAGTAAAACTAACATGACACACGAGTAAAACTAACATGACTCACGGGTAAAACTAACGTAACACACGGGTAAAACTACCATGACTCACGGGTAAAACTAACGTAACACACGGGTAAAACTAACATGACACACGGGTAAAACTAACATGACACACGGGTAAAACTAACATGAC